AGATTGCGACAGTCGTCTTTACCCTAATCATCGCCGTAACCTCATCATTATCCATCTTCACGTCTTTATAATCCTTGTAACCAATTAATCCATTCGAGTTCTCATCAGAAGACCACCACTGCGGCCGTTTTTGCTTCCATTCCGGGAAACAGCGTTTGTTCCACATCTGGATAATTCTCACCATTCCAGAAGAAAGTTAATGACAAACTCCCCCAACTCACCAAAATAAGCGACTTGTAATTCTCCTCGTTGCTAATAGGTTCCACTCCTTTCCCATGCTGACTCGTGCAATGCTTTTTCGCCTCCCAAACCGAGTTCGAATTCAAGTAGTCACACTCTGGGCATCTAAAATGATTGGAAACCTTGCGCAAAATGCAGGATAAAAATTAATCGATAATCGATTGACTAGCTTTGTATATGGATTAATGAAGGAACATGTATTCAATATAAGCAGCATCGCGCATTAGTTCCAAACACGGCTACCCAAAAAAGGGAAGAAGGAAAAGGAGAAAACTCAAAAAAAAAAAACCAGCAAAATCAAATGCTACAAGTTTTTTTCTCAGCTAAAAGATAAATTCTTTTCATTTTTTTCTGAAAACACACAATAAAACTGACTGATACATATCGTCCTTTTTCACATGCACCATAAACACATGTCGTTGCCGTGCTGTGTTACATACTTCCACTTTGCACACCTAAACAGCAATCTCGTACAACTGTGTTGTGCCAAATAAATTTTTCCAACTTACCACACACATAACCTTATTTTTTGCTTTACTATCCACTAGACCATTGCTAACACTTGCTTCTTCACCATTTTCGCACAAAAGGTGAGAATCATAAGCAGAGAAGTCATCATTAAGCTGGAAAAAAAGATATACAATAACATTAACATCCAACAAACAACCACTAGAAATATTGCAGAACTACCTCTAGAGGCACATTTTCTTGAAAACCGTTGCGACGTTTGGCGCCGCTGTTTTCATGTGAACCAGCACTTCGTTTCCTATTTGATTTCTGAATTTGAGACTCTGTTGGAGTGATACACAAGAAAAAAATTGAATGGAGTCATCAATCGTATAGTATCGAACGTTTGATCTTTGATAACTTCCTTATATCGAAAGCTTTCGAGAAGCTTTAGCTACCATAGAGTTGGCTTCAGTTTAGATTTAAGGTATGGAGA